TCTTGGATGCTGCTATGGACAGTTCCTCTTCCGCTTTGATTGCCTGATTTGATGGGTTGCAAGAGGTGTAAAAATGGACAATCTTTGTCATCGCCCTTTTGCAAAACAGCTTACAATGGAAAGCGCAAGGCTAGCGAGGCTCACAAGCTCTAAGCGCAGGGCTTTCTTGAGGTCATCCACCTCCCCGCAAAGCACGAAGCAACATTTCCAAAGGCAAAACAGAGCTGAGGTAAATCCTTTATCCAGTGGCGCAGCTGAGGTCGCTGCGTTTGTCAAAACACCTTTGACCTGAAACGCGTTGCCGACGATCTCAAAGTCCTTGCCGTCCTCGCAGATCCACAAGCACTGCGTTCCAGTTCACATCCATCCATTCAGCGATTCTCACAAACGCAGTGGACTTTGGAGGTGGGGGCTTTGGAAATGCTTCTTTCCTGCGCGTCACAAAAGGGAATGGACATTGAATAAGAAAGGGCATGGCAGCACAACATACAAAGTTTTTCGTCTTGGAAGATATCTTTCAACAAATCCTGAGCAATAAACAACCCTGCAATCAATCCCCGCGACAAGTAACAAGAACAACGCATGACAAGGCGTTGTCTTGCACAACCAACTTGCCCGCTGCCAATCTCTTGACTTTTGGAAGTCACATGCGCAGCGTCAAACTTTGCAGGATAGGCATGACTGACAGGAAACGCTAGCTGGGAAGGGTTCGTCACAACGAATACCTCGGGAAAAGATGCAACCCTTGTCAGTCCTGCTGCAGCTGCCTCACCCACACCGCTCCGGCTTGTTGAGGTCTGCCTTGTGTTGAACGGAGTCCATTCAAGGATCTGATGATCTAGTTTGATCTCAAAAAGCTTCACTGTTGGCTTTGAAAACGTCCAAGGCGCTTGACTTCATAGTCTCCACCACCCTTTGGATGCACTTCCGAGCGTAGGTGGTCGGCGAAAGGAGAACCCGCCGGTCTCTGAACATCGCTGCCTTCAAGGCTGGGTCCAAGAAAGTAGGCGCTTCTCTCTCGATGATGGCGCCGAAGTTCCTCTTGGCGATGACTCGGGCGCCTCTCTGGCTCTCCGTCTCCTCTGTTGCAGTGCCATCCTCTATTGCTGACCATCCTTTCTCAGCCAAGTTCACCATGTGCTTCCGAGTGAGCGGGTCGCCCACGAGGCCACCTAGCCAGGCATTGCCGCCTCGGACGTTGAAGGGGTGGAAGAGGTTTTCCTCACCCATCCTAAACTGCTGCCGAAGTTTGTCAATGGCTTGGTGGCATAGAAAGATGTTTCCGCCGAAGCTCTTGTAGAACTCCTGCAAAGCATCACGATTCGTATCAATGACAAGCAACTCAGCCGCACGAAGAACACCAAATGGGCAAGCTGCCTGAGCTAACAAAAGCAAACTCGGAAACGTGCAAAGTCGACCACTCCTTCGCCAGGTCTTGAGACAAACCCACTCTTTGAGCACTTCCAGCATGGGCTCCTCTTCCACCTCTGGACACACAATCGACTTGACAGAGCCGTACTTGTTGAAGCCAGTTTCTCCAGACCCAGTGAGAAGGCATAGTCAGACGCGATGAGAATCACCCTGACCTTGCGCTCCTTCTTTGTCAATGCTACGAGGGTGGCGAGCGCCTTGGAGGCGGCTTCTCTCTTGGCAGCGTTTTCCCTGCCATTCTCACCATGTGTGGGGAACGCCAAGTTCGCTTCGTCAATCATGATGACAGGAACTTGTCCACCAGCCAGCTGCATCACCAAAGGCAGTGACAAAGTCTTCAGGTGATTTGATATTTAACAGGGCAGAAACAGTGCCGCTCTTGCAGACACAGCACCAAGCACCGACATGGCATCGGGGAACCAAGAAGGCACATTCTTCGCGTTCCATCGTCGTTTGGCTTCTGCTTGCAGGCATTGCAATACGTCTCCCGAGCTGGGCACGGGCGGGAGACGCATGTCGACGTAGAGCAATGCAGCGTCGCCAGCTTGCTCAACCATGGTCTTTAAAATCTTCGTCGTGCCGAGGGATCCACCACTGATGACGAGGTGCAAGAGTTGTATCTCCCCTGCCATTCAAACAAACAGGCAACAAACGCACCCAAATCAAAAAGTTCCATCGCGCCGCCTCCTTCAACGAGTTCATGAAATCGACACGCCCCGCAATCTTATTGCTCTCTTGGTAAGCCCCCGCATTGCCGCTCACATTTTCTATCAATTTCTCAGGGCTGATGCGCTGGGCTTGGGCAGCTTTTTGGATGCCCTCCAGAATGCTGAAGGTCGCTTCAAAGTGGAAGAGCCAAATGAGAACGCAAGGCAAAATTAGCCGGTGCTCTTTGGAGCCATGGCCATGGTGGTCAAAAGCTTAAGACTGAAACCTGGACCCTGCCCTGCTCTGCATCGATGTTCAGTTGGTCTGTCGCGAAATTGGGGTCTCTAAGACTGAGGTGCGAGTAGCACAAGGTAAGCCAAAGGGCGAAACTGAACAGCAGAGCCCGAAGCTGCTCACGCAAGCACTGTGCCAAGATTCCAACGCGGGTTGAACATGTTGACCGATACAAGAGAATCTACTTCACACGTCATTGCCATCTCGCACCAAATTGTCCAGGAGCTGGAGCCCAAAATACATCAGTTTGTCGGCTTTGGGGGAAGTCTATTCAGGCCTGATGAAGAAAGTGTTGTTTTGTGTGATTCGGGCACGAGCCTGTGCCCAAGCGAAGGGTTAGTTGAGGTAAATAAGCTACAAAAAGAAAGACCCCAAAACAGTAACCAATCCCTGGTCCCAAAGTTCAGGGTTTCCCACACAAGTAACCAAACAACCACAAGGAAAATAACCAACAGATAAGGAACACTGCCCCGGGAAGAAGTTTCTTTCTCCTCCGACACGTGAGTGATTGACGTGGGGACCCGGCGACGCTCATCCGAGATCGCGACGGGTTCGTAAACTTGAGCCAAATGCCACAGGTCAAGCACAGGTCACAACTGAGAGCGCCTCTGTGAAACCGCTGTTGACCAGCACTGGAATCTGTTGTTGGTCCTGCACCTGTTACTTGCATGCCCCACTTGACTTGAACGCCGTGGCCTGCTGCTCAAGGAATGTGAGCCTTGAACTGCTGACTGCTACTCCTGGAAGTCAAGCAAAGCCGCAGCGCAACAAAACGTCGCGGCTAATTGCACAACGCCAGGTGAAACAGCATGTGTGCTGTTGTTGCCTCAGCCGAGAAGCCCACACAACAAGGGGCCGAAGCCAACATTTGGTCAATAAGGATGCAAGTTCACAGCGCTCAAACTCCTGCGCTGCTGAGGCACATGCACGCAACTTATACATTTTCCGCTGATAGCACGAGCCCGTAGCAATCTGCCCTGCGAGCGGGATGACGGCAAAATGTTAAGAAACACGGCAGGTGTGGCTCTTTTTGACATCACTCACTGCTTCAAGCCACTCAGAAATCCAGGCTCAGGGATGCAGGAGGGATGACTCCCCTTTACCTGCATCCCCATGCGGAGCCTGCACAAATACCCGCAAGGTTAACAACGCGTGTTCAACCTGCAGGGGTGTGAAACAGAACTGGAGGTATTCTGGCACGTCAAGAAGCAATGCGTGCAACTTGTGCGCGAAAATGAGGAAGGCGTCCTCAAAGGATAAGACCAATGGCTGGTCCGGTAATGTTGTGTCTCACACGAAGCAACGCGTGCTCACGTGAGAGATTCTGAGGAATGCGTCCTCACCTGTCGGACTGAGTCCGGAACACATGCCGGAGGAATGCGTCCTCGCATGCGCCCTGGCGAAAATCACACGCAGCAGAATGCGCATGCTGGCACCATGTGCGGATGTAATGGCAGTCCGGATAGTCCTCACTTTTCGGACTGCGTCCGGAACACATGCGGGAGGAATGCGTCCTCGCACGCAAAGGCAAAAAAGGCTACACGAAGCAGAGCATGCGCGCTGGCACAGTGTGCGGATGCAACGCAAGTCCACACACACACACACACTCTAACCTTCCCCTCGCGGCTTGCGAAGGCGGATTCATGAGGTAGAGGCGGCAGTCAAGCAGACAAAAACAACTTTTCGCGAATCGCATGCAAGCGATGGGATGTTGGTAAGACACATTCTCACAGAGATGGGGCTGCCGCCATTTTACATCCCAGTTTGACACGACTTTGCTTTATCACTGCTCGGGGGTCTAGATTCTGCAACAAAGTGCGCAGAGCCAAATTTGATCAAGGGTTGCAAAGTAGGACCCCTTCCCATGTCTCCTTCTTCAAATCCCTCCTGCTATTGAACACGTACTTCGGCTTGGAAGCCCAGACCTGGTTCTGGACGTTCGAATGGCTGTGTGCGAGCGCGCTTCTGCTACTGCGCTTTGCAATCCCACGCGGTTTCATTCACGTGCGCTGGCTGCGCGAAGAGACGCAGTAGCTGTTATTGCGAGCGTAGTTCCATGGTATTTCGGAGCTTAGGGTTGTGAATCGCATTGCGATGGCTGCAAGAAGTGTGCCAGCTGTCACTGCTGGCGCAGTCTCTTTCGAGGGAAGCCTTTGAAGTCGTGAACTGCGCTGAGAGAAAAGCGATGTCAAGAGAAAACGATGTCAGCAGAATGAGGCTTCAAGAGTACATCAATGTCAACATGCAAGATAAAGAGATATCAAGAGGAAGCGGATGTCAAAGGGAACGGGGTGTCAAACAGAAAAGGATGTCAAGACAAAAAGGGTTGTCAAGAGAAAAGGGTTGTCAAGAGAAAGAGGTGTCAAGAAGGGAGAGAGAGAGAGAGAGAGAGAGAGAGAAAGAGAAAGAGAGAAAGAGCAAAAGACAAAAAGAAAGAGAGAGAGAGAGAGAGCGAGAAACAGAGAGAGAGAGAGAGAGAAACAGAGAGAGAGAGAGAGAGAGAGCGAGAAAGAGAGAGAGAGAGAGAGAGAAAGAGAGAGAGAGAGAGTTAGGCAAAGAAAGAAACAAAGGAAGAAAGAAAGAGAGAGAGAGAGAGAGAGAGGCAAAGAAAGAAAGAAAGAAAGAAAGAAAGAAAGAAAGAGAGAAAGAGAGAGAGAGAGAGAGAGGGAGAGAGAGAAAAAGAGAGAGAGAGAGAGAGAGAGGCAAACAAAGAAAGAACGTAAGAAAGAAACAAATAAAGAGATAACGAGATAAAGAGAAAGAGGCGCGAAGGGGAAAGGGTGCCAAGAGACAAAGTGAAGTGTCCTGAGACATGTGGTATAGACACGGTCCTTCCGAAGCGTACAGAATTTCCCAGTCGCCTGTGCCCCGGCGAGGAGTTCATGGTCGCCGAGCTCTTCGATTCCTTGCAGGAATGACCCGGCCGCTACGTTGGGGGTGATTGGGGCATGGGGCGGGGGGTGGTATCTGGTTCATCACCACAGGTATATTTGGCAATTAACAAAAAACCGTCGCTAAGTTCATCAAAGGAAGTTTAGCAGGAACTTGCATGGTGCGGCAACTAATTGAAAGCTCTCGGAGACAAATGACAAAAGAGGAACAAGCACGACAAAATGCGGGCGCGTGGTGGGTTTAGACATGTTCAAAACGCCCAACCCTCTGCCGGCTTCGTGGCTGTGGAGCCTCATTGCGACGCCTAGTCGGAGCGATCTCACTGCGATCTCGGGCCACGTTCGGGCAAAGTGCAGAGCTATAGGTCATGTGCAGATATCGTGGCAGGCAGTACTTGAGAAGGGGAGACACGAAATGCAGGATACCTTAAAGTGGTCCCCCTAATGTATCGTAAAGTGGCTTCCCCAATGCATTCTCTAAAAAAGAAAGGAAGAGGCTTGCATCGAATACCATTCAGGTGCACATGGAGCTCAACAGCTTGACTATGTTAAGAGGCAATTTCCGTTCCGCGAAAAAAGGAAGTACTGAAACGCGGACCGTGTGAAGCGAATCGGGCAAAAAGAGTGGAAAAAGGAGCGAAGCTGCCAATCAGGCACGCAAGGGGGCCAGAGGGCACACCAGGGCGAGTCGAAGGGGGAGGGGTGCGTCCTGACCAAGCCCCAGACCCCTCAGTCTAGCAGTCTAGTCCTGCTAACGCAAGGACAAACTCAAGCTGGCCTCCTTGAGGCTACCTTTCGTGACTTTCATAAAATGATGTGCAGATTTAGCGGTGCATTACTTTCAAAAAGTCGTGTGCAGATTAGGTGGCCGGCGCAGATCTTTTGCAAGGTCACGCGCAGATCTTGGCAGGCGCATTAGGTCAAGTACAGATTTCGTGGCATGCGCACCACTTTCGCAAGGCCATGTGGCTAGATAGATGGTAGCTAGCTAGATAGAGATAGATCGGCAGGTGGATGAGTAGGTAGAGACAGAGTAGATAGAACAAAGTGGATGGGTAGCGTGCAAATGAATGAATAGAGTGAATGAATAAATGGAAGATAAACACATAAATACATAAACGGACAGAACTATGAAATACGTTCGACTGGCTAGCTGGCGCACTAGCTGGACTGATAGATGGACATATAGACAGAAAGAATAGATGGATAGAATAGAGAAGACAATTGAGGTAGGTAGGTATACAAATGGATGGGTCGGTATACAGATCGACTACAGATAAAGCGCCTGCTGTTGTTCGCCTTCAGGCAAAGCTACTTGTCTCGAGCATGGCGGGCAAAACACGACCAAGGACTGGCTCTGGCATCCAGGTCCGGCATGCGAAAAATCGAATGAATCCTCGACTTCGAACTTTCCGGGTTGGATTTGCGCAAACACCTGCTGGAATTGCAGGCTTTAGAACTTCAACGCGCTCTTGGGCTTGCAGATTCTTGTTGGAGATGGTGCGACGCCTTCAGCAGCTTTGTGAAGTCAGTGGTTCCGCTGCGCTCCTGGTAGCACTTCTGAAAGCAACAACTTCCAAGCACAACCTCCGGCCTTCATCTCGTGGCTTGCATTAAGAAATGCAAAAGGAAAGGGATGGCAAGAGACAAAGATGTCAAGGAAGGGGATGATGTTCAGAGAGTGAGGGAGAGACGTCAAAAGAGAGGTATCAAGAGGAAAGGATGTCAAGAGACAAAGTGAGAGTGAGACATCAGCTTTTCCAACAAACAGGTGTCCTGGCACACCTTGTCCGTACAAATACATGTGACCCCCCTGACCTCTTCCCTTGTTACACTCTGTATATACACATATGTGAGTGCCAATATGATGGAACAAGCACTGATCAAATCCCCAACAATGTGGGAACACCATGAACAAAACACTTTATCTCGTCGTTTTAACCTGGTCTTGCGATGGAATTCCTCAACCGCCCCTGCCCCTGTGGGCCTAGCCGAGCTCTTCTTCGATTCGCAGAAGTTGGTTGTCATTCCTCCACATGACCCAATCACTGCGGCTGGGCCCATGAGGAACAGGTGGGGGGGGGGCGGTTAGAAGCTGGTTCACCATGAATATGGGGGTGTCTCTTTTTGAGGGTGCCTGTGGTTTTAAAGGAAACCAAAAGCAAATCACCTGTTTGGAGGGTGCCCCTATTTTGAGACAAACAATATGTTTGGCTAATGGCCAAAGTCTTTTCTTTGAAATCTGCGCCAGTTGGTAGGTAAATTGTCAAACTAGTAAGAGGGTTTACTACATCTCAAGTTGGACAGGCACTCCATCACAATAACTGTGGCTCGCATTCCTATCAACTGTTGCTGCGATGCTCGCAGCAAACCGTGGGGAAACACGCTGAATTCCTTGGATACGCCCGAAGAAACATCATAAAACTACAAGAAACAACAATAAACAACATCGCTGTACACCTGACTGTGTCATGCCTCGTATACTGTTCTACTTGGGCTTGTTCTCATTTCCTTGACATTTACATGGCTGTACACCTTCTTGCTAGCGATTAAATTCAGAGATCCCTCTCTCCGGAACGGATCTCAAAACCCAAGGTGAACAAAGCGCACCAAGGACTCCCCATAAATCGCATCGACAACTCATATGGGTGGCTCGTCTTTCTTGGAGTTGGTACCCTTGGTTTGGTAGGTTTCAAAGGGCAACAAACAAGATAACCCACGCATTTTGGGGGCTTCCCAAAACATACACACCCGTATTTCACATGCACCATGAACAAATAAGCCAAGAAGTCCTGGCGATCAACCATAGCGCTGGAAACTAAAACTCCACAATCTGCTGGTGACTTTTCGGATTGTCTGTTGACTGCATGAACCATGGCTCCAGATTGCAGTGGCCTTCCAGTGGTAGTTAACGGGCTGTCCCCCTCCACAAAAAAGTTGACAACAGCGAAGCAACCTACTGGGTGTGTGGTGGGAATAGACGTGCGCCGACAAAACTTGAAGCCCGGAGTGGCCAATGCCCATTCGATTGAACGAACCACCACCCAAAGCTTTGCGTGCCCCACCTGCGGGGTTTGTGAGCGTTGCGCCCCGCCTCTGCCTCGCAAGGTTCCCCATAGTTCCAACCTCAACGCGCCGAAACTCCAGGGACCAAAAGGTGAATTTCACACTCCACCAAGCAAGTACGATACAAGTTTGTCGTAAAGTGCGCCTTCTTTTCCAAGTAGAACCTGTCATAAAGAGTTTGTTTTCCAAACAGAACCACCCTAGCCAGGCGCCCAACCGGTGAACTTCCCCGGGTCCCGGCCTCGATCCCCTCACGGCGCAAGGCGCCGCAGCAATTCGCCGCGGGCCCAGCGGAGGAGCTGGGCGCTGCGGAGAAGCTGCGGCCGGGCCGCCTCAACACCCGAGTGCGAGACGCACAGTTTGGGCTGAAAAAACATCGAGCAACCGAGCCCTCACCAAAAACCAGAACTAAACCAAGACCAAGACCAAACCAAACCGAATCAAACCACAACGAAAGCAAAGCAAAGCAAAGCAAAGCAAACCACAACCAACCCACCAACACATCAACCCACCAATCCCTTCCGATTGAGTGGACGGGCCCAAAAAGTGACTAAACTTCTTGTTCACCAAAATGGTCCAACCAACCAACCAACCAACCAACCAACCAACCAACCAGCCAGCCAGCCAGCCAGCCAGCCAGCCAGCCAGCCAGCCAGCCAGCCAGCCAGCCAGCCAGCCAGCCACCCAACCAACCAACCAACCAACCAACCAACCAACCAGAGAGCCAGCCCCGCCAGCCAGCCAACCCAACCCAACCCAACCCAGCCAGCCAGCCCCAACCCAACCCAACCCAACCCAACCCAACCCAACCCAACCCAACCCAACCCAACCCAACCCAACCCAACCCAACCCAACCCAACCCAACCCAACCCAACCCAACCCAACCCAACCCAACCCAACCCAACCCAACCCAACCCAACCCAACCCAACCCAACCCAACCCAACCCAACCCAACCCAACCCAACCCAACCCAACCCAACCCAACCCAACCCAACCAACTGGCTGACCAACCATAAAACGGAGCCCCTTTCCATCGTTTTCAACCAGTGCTCTTTTCAACCAGCTGGTTTTCAAACTTATGGAAGGAAGGAGCCCAGACATATCCTAAGACAAGTTGTATGATTTACAAATTTCTTTCTGAGGTAACACGAAACGAGTACGCTCACCCGTTGCCCAAGCGTTGTGTCCTAAATGTGGGGGGGGGTCTGCAAAACGGGATATGGTCCTTGCGATCTCCTTTGCCTCTTCTTCAGCATCTAGCAAACAATGGACAAGGCGTGCCAGTTGGATAGTCGAGGGTTTCGGTTTCAAAGATTCCGCTTTTGGGTTGCCATCTTTGAATTTTGCCAAACTGCCAAGTCTGATTACAAAAAGGTCAAACACTGATTTGTCTTGAAGCAAGGAATCCGGAAATGCGGATTGCTCAAACTCCAAGCAGAGGTAGACCTATCGACTGTCGACGGGTGAAGCCCGTGAACGTCTGTAGCTTAAGCCTTTGACTTGGCCAGTTGGGTTGACTTGTTTTCACGCGAGAGCCATCTCGCCTCATAACCTGAAACAAGCCAAAAGGGTTTGGACGTAGAGTTGGGCGGTTGTTGATTTTTGGTAGATTGCACACATGGCATTCTTCGTGGCAATGTTCTTTTTCCAGCTGCACCTTTGGATTTGCATCCTTGGATTCTTTCAAAGAACCGCACACACACACACACACGCGCACACACACACACACACTTACTCTCATTTCAAGCCCAAGCAGCGATGTTCAATTCCTGTGGCGGCTACTCACTGCGTGCGCAAACATGTTGTAATCCAGAGTGCGGAAGTAAGGAATCCCTAAGCCAGGGACCTTCATCCTGTGGCCCGGCATCATTCGCTTGAAGTTCTTGGAATCGCTCGCCATGGAACCCAGCAAGAGATACAAGGAGCATACAACCGGAAAGGGCTCCCCGAGGGTCTTACAAGGGTTGTAAAAGGTGTATACGAGGGAGACGAAGGGTTGCGAAAAGGGCCGTCTACCTGCAGGTAGTTTCATCCGTGGCGCTGGCATGTGCCAAAGCTCTGCCTCCCGCAGAAAGGCCATCAGCTCCAGGTCGCGCAGTCCCATTGCCGACAGCCACGGCAGCAGTCTGCGGGGGGGGGGGAATTGACTTGGCCAAACGGATCCGATCCTGCAAAACACAAGCCGATGCCTTGGTGCTTAAGAGGGAAAAGCAAAAGGACATGGAAAAAGGCAGGTATTAGTAGGTAGTAAGACTGGGCAAATCACCCATTACACCGGTGATAAGTGTATAAGTTTGGATTTCGTGGCGTATCACTAGGCTTGCTAACCTGCCTCAGCAATTGAATGCTTGCTTCTGCACGAGGAGTTGTCTAAAAAGGGCAACTTGGTGCTCTCATGTCAGCCTGCCTTTAACGGCAGGTCCAAAAAGGGATTGAGAATTCGGAGCGCGACGTTGTTTTACAACAACTTCTTCCTTTTAGCTCCGGCGATCAGCGAATGCGCAGGATGCTACAATAAACGGCATTCTCCTGGGGGTCTGTTTCAATGCTGCGGCAGTTTGAGTATTGCAGCCAGTCAACCCTGGCAATCCTGCTATTTACAGCGGCTTCGGGTTGGTTTGCTTGCAACAATTATTTGGGGAATCAACCATACGGCGCAGGGCCCTCAAGACATTCGCCATGTCTAAATTCTTTCAAGGCAGGTTACATAAAGTTAAATGGAGTGACGTCTTTGCCCAAAAGCTAACATCCCGAAACCCAAGTTGGTATGCCTTGAAACAAGTCGTAATCAACATGCTTTGACTAAAGAGGTCTACCTTGCACCCATTTGCCCAAAAGAACCTGGAAATACAGGGTTCACGTTTTGGGACCAACTAAAAGTGGACCAGAAAAGGGGAACTTAAAAGGTCAGACCCGGTCGATTCGGTTTGGGCAGGTGAGGTCGACCTTAAAGTCGGCTGCGCTCGGCTCGCCTGCGCCAGGCCCCGAAGTCTGCCGCATCCGTGCGGATCTCTGCCGCCGCCTTGGCCGCGTCCTCGGGATTTACGGCGCGGGACTGCGGGCGCTCGTGGCCAGGCGATTTTGGGGAACCCGTGGTGTCCCTACTGCCTAAGGTACGCCAACCATGTATATAGATGAAACATGGATACATGTGCCTGTGTTAGCCACATTCATGCCTAGCCGCCAGTTTAGCCATAGGCATTTTGGGAGGGATGCACAACATTTGCCCTCAGCGAATGAATGAGGCCGTATACGTACCCATCCCGGGAAAACGCCGGGGGCGCGGACGTTTCTTCAGGGATGTGACCGGGTTCCTGAAATGTCCACTTTAAACATCACCCCTCGGCTGCAACATAGCCGCGTTTAAACAACAACTAGCTGCGCTTGAATGCCCGTTGTTTCTCCGGCCATGCTTTTGAAGTTCCGCGCGGTGACTCGCCGAAGAAAGGAATATCCGGTTGTAGCCCTGCTTCTGAGGGCCGGGCCCAACCTGCAAAAAGCGGCGACTTTCTGCCGAAAGGGGAACACAAAGGACACCCCAAATCTGGCGATGGTTCGGAGCAGGTCCCACCCCGAGCTACGACACCCCCCCAAAAATGCCCGCTCGCCGCTCAGCCCCAGGCCGCTTCTAAACTGAGGAGCTCGCGCTGCAAACAGCGGGGCTCCGAACGCAGGTCCTTCGTTCGGTTGGGGCGGTGTCCGCTTCCGATGGCTGGGCGAGGTTGCTCACGCCCAGGCGTCATCTACCCAAACACCCCCAGCTCTCTAAACAAGAAGATCCGAACAAGGCCTTGTTATTGGGGGTGGGGGGGTGGATCCTATGAATCTTGTCCGCAGTATAATACCACACACGCATATAAATAAATAAGATGAATCAACAAGGACAATAACATAAATACACAAATAAATGAACAAATAGATAAACAAATAAATAAATTCATACGTAAACAAATAAACAAAACAACATGTTTAGAAACACACACACATACACATACATGGGTGTTTGGCAAAGGGAATCGTGTGACTTTTTGGGGGACCGCCCTCCCTTGCCCCCCAATCCACACTTTGGCTTCCTTTCAAAATCACCGCAAAAGGGGAAGCAACTCCAAACAAGACACACCCTTTTCACCTTTCACACATATTTCCTTCCATTCAAGTATCCCTGAGAATCTCACACCCTAGTTGGACACAAAGGTGAACAAAATCTGCAGCTAAATCCAATGTAGATTGGGGATGGTTTGGGGGAGTAGTGGAGCCTTCAGGCAAAATTCGGTTAGTGCCTGAGAATAAGGCTTTTAAACTTGCACGGGTAATTATTTTGGAATGCTGGGACAAACATGACTTTGATTTGCATCTCCTTTCGAAGCAACTATCGGATGACCTTGAAGCTGGATGCCGCTTGCTTTTTTTGTTCGGATCCTCATTGTGCTACACAACGATAAATCCTGCTGTGGTAACCATCTGTCATATCTATCCCGTGGAATCACTCAAACGCCAAGCAACGGCATTGCGTTGGCAGTTCGGCTTCCTAAAGCAAAACCTTCTGCCGGAAGTGAGTTTTCGATGACTCATTCACATCTTACCCTAAGGAACACGGAAGCGAGTCTTTCGGCCCACACAGCCATTCAGATGGTGCCTTGCGAGCCAATGGCTGGGTGCCTCTCGGGGCGTGGAAGCATTCTGTTTGCAATTTGTTGCTTTGTCTTCTCTGCCTAGACACCTGCTAAGTGCTCGCGTTGAAGTAAAACAGCGCACCCTGCCTGGAGCCCGCTGCACTCCACCCCGAGATCCTGTCTTCTGAAAGCGTGATCTTTACCATGGGAACGAACCACCCAGCCCCTTACCCATCAACCAACATGACCATTTTCCTCTACTGGTGGGTTCTAGGTTAGAAGACTGGAGGGTCACCCATCCTCCTCTTCCCCATAAAAGACCCCAAAAAACGTCCTCCTGAAGGCCTTTTTTTTGGAGGAAGCCGAGGTGAGGGGGTTGGGGTGTGTGGGGATGCTACGAGGTTGGCAGGCAACCCTGTTTGGTGGTTTGGATGAGTGGGGTAGGAAGGAAGTCCTTCTAAATTGGATTCAATAGAAGGCGGGGGTTCAACTCTCCAGACAACAATCCAAACGCACACAACCCACCAAGTAAGCCACGCACGGAGTAATTGCAAAACATGAAAAAACTGAAAGCCAAACACCACAAACACGCAATAGCCAATCACTGCAGTTTGACCTCCCAATTGTCCCAGCGGGGTGCCAAATCATTGTCCCAGCAGGGTGCCAAATCCAACTCAACCACGGTTTGAGGTATCTAGACAATCACTGGGGAGAAATCGATCTTGAGCCCGCACTTCTCATCTGAGTGTATCCAAGAACGGGGGAAGCTGTCAAACCCATTGGTTGGCAGGGAAAAGCAAATAAAGCATTGCTCCTTGGGGATTCCCTTTGAAAGCACACACCGGAAAAGCACACCACCGTTTTCTCGGGTGTCTCTTCACCCGGCCGGCCACTTTCCCTGGGGCCTTGTGGAACAAGATCCGGACAAAAAGGACTGGGAAGACACATCAGCGACCATCAACACCCAGAAAGTTGGAGGGTAAGGGGCCGGCTTCTCAACTCTTGAAGTGGGCTTGGGCCATGCCGGACTTTGATGACTCAAATGAGGCTTGCAGGGGATAGCCTCACATGGAAAAGCACAGCAATGGTTTCGGTCATTGAGGGCTCTTCAGCTCCATCTTTATAGGAGGTTGAATCATCCCTGAATCCTTGGCTCCCTGTTCTTTTGGGCTAACCCATGGGTTCGAATGGGTTCCTCGGGTGCTACCACAAGCGCAAACAAGCCGTCCGTTAGAACCCGTAGAATGGCAAGAGCGAGAAAGTGAGCTCCAACATTGTTTTTCTCCGCAGATAGTAGCCTCCTAAAAGGGAGTTGAATTCAAAGGGAGTTCAACCTTTTGAGAACCAGGGCTTCCGATATTCCCCCGTAGCCATCAAAGGACACTAATCTTTCCAACAGTGGCATGCAACAAGTGATGTTCAACCAAGCTGGCAAGGGGAATCCAACCCAAAAAGGGGGACATGGGTGTGTCTTTTTGGGTTCCACAAGAGCCCCAAGCAACCAAAGCTGCCGCTCGCCGGTCGCGCTCTGCCCTGTCGCCTGGACCGGCACCGCAAATGGCCGCCGCTCCGTGACAAGGCGGCTGCGATACGCATCCAGGAACCTCACACGCGGCGAACGCGTTCACGCGTCCTCTACTTGCCAGGGACCCCCCAAAAAAGGAATCTCCAAAGAGAAGGAGGGGACCCCCATTAAACGAACCAAGAAACTGGGATAAGGCTTGTGCAAGCCAGAGCATCGGCCCGCCAAGGGACCCCCCAAAAGAAGTCGGCTTCCTTCTGGCGCCAAAAAGTTGGGTTCAACTCGCAAGCCACCGGGGGTTTCTATGCGTATCCCCGCCCATCTCTCTGGATATCCGTGGCCCACTTCTTCGTGGGGAAATCGGCTACCGCATGTTTTCTTTGGCCATCACCTCAAGATCGGCTGCAGGGGGGAGGGGGGGGTCCACGGCCTGGAACATATATATATATATATATATATATCCCCCTCAATCATCGCACCAAAGGGAACCTCACTTCAAACGGCCTCAACAAGGTGGGAATGATAAAGAAAGTGTCCAGAAAAACAATCAGAACACGTACCCAACTTCTTTTGATTCCCTTTGGCTAAAAATGTTCATTGTGGCTGCTACGGTGGATATCGGTGGATTTTCAAACATTTGCAAGTACGAAACTGTGGTAAAACACGGAACATTGGAGAATCGGTCCCCTGGTTCCCTCAAGTGCAATATCTCCACTGTTCTTGGCCCCAGTGTCTTTCATATTTTCAGCCTTCTGGTTCCATCCGTGCTTGGTGGGGGGCTGCAAAAACACAAAACGAGTTTGTCTAGGTCCGCCAGTAGAGAGGTTAGAATAAGGGTGCCCTTTCTTCTGTAGTCTGTTTTAGTAGGGGTTACCAAAAAAGGGTAAAAGGGCACTACTGGGGGACCTAGTTGTTGCTACCAAGGGCATCCAATGCCGAAGCGCTCGCTTCTTTCCCTTCGCTGAGTTTGCTCCGGGCAGCTGCCGGCAGTTCTCGGCGATGGCCAGGAACTTCTCCACGAAGTCGGGGACCTCGGCTCGACGCTGAAAACGGGGAATCACCTGGATAATAACCCCTCCTAGATACATGGGTATTTGGGCTCGGATTTGGACCTTTTTTGCCTTGATGCTGGTGAGCAGTTGGCAAACAACACAAGATGATTCAGGGTGAGCTGCTTGTTGTCGTGGCGCAAATGGTATGTTCGTGCCATCACGCTGTCTCTTGCTGGGAATTCTCTAGTGGAAGCGAGGGCTCTCCTCGATTTGCGGCGGCTTTCCCGTGCTTTTCCCTTGCAACAACCCATAGTTTAGGGTGGCCTGTGCTTAAGCCCCCTAAAAAGAATGCGCAAACATCGTTGCAGTAGTGAGATCAATTTCAACTTTAAAACCAACAGGGAAAATAACACATATTCATTTCAGCAAATGGAAGTTCTGAATGGGGAGTTACTTGAAGTCTTCGTTGAGTGGCTGGCCCCTTTTAACACCACCTCGCCAAAAGGAAGCCACTTCAAAAGGGAAACAACAAATGCGACATTAAATGACATGCAAGGACCAAAAATGAGCGGATATAGGAAATACATTTCCTGAGAAGATCTGCAGTGCAAAAAGTCCAACCTCTTTTGCTTGCAACTAAAACAATCTCTCCCAAAAGCATCAATAATCCAGAAACACGCAATCGCACATATGGGGACACATATTTTTTTTCCTTCCAAGAGACCCAGGCAGGTGTCCGCAGGTAGTCCTCGACATCCCCCAGGAGCTGTTGGTGTTTCTCCTCGTTCCTGCAACTCTTTGTGGCAACCCCGCCCCGCCCTCACCCCCCCAAAACCCCCCTGCCCCACCCAAATCGGTGGGTGGGTGGGTTGGAGTCTTTTGGAAACCTTGGACGTCCCCTGCAAAAGTTGATCAATTCACAGGCGATTTCCATGGAAACTTGTATTTTGGAGGTTCCAAAAAAAATAACAACATGGAGGCACCCTCAAAAAAGAGGCCGAGCATTTTTGTACACTTTTTGAGGGGGTCTTTGGGGTGGGCGTCCTCCATCCCCTTTGATGTACTCCAAGCTCCGGCAGCAGCCGCAGCGCGTCAAGCCACAGCAGTGCCGCCCCGTGCAGGTCGGGGCACAAATGGCTGGTGGGCGCACGCTGGCAGTTCCAGAGATCACCTAAGGACCCAAAACGTCATAGAAACCCTGGAGAAATCCAGTATTTGACGTGGCTTCCTTTTGGCGAGTTGGTGTTAGGGGGCCACTCTTCCAAAGACTCCAAGGCATAGCTCGTTTTGATCAATGAAGGCCCGGGGTCTTTGGGGGTATCAACCAGGTCCCCCAGCCAGGTGCCCTTTCTCACCGTTTCTTCTTTGGTTGGGAGGGAAACCCGCCTACTAGAATAAACAAAAGAGAAAAAATAGGCCTCTTAAATCTGGAGGACCTAAGAGATGCCCAAACTGGGCAGACTGAACTGGCCAGGACCTTCAAGTCCCCGTTCAACCAGTACGAAGTGGCGGTATTTTTTTTTTTGCAGGGTGCACGTCTGGCACAGCAACCAAGGTCAATTAACTGGACCAACAAACTCATTCGCGAGCTGCTTAAACAACCTTTGTGTGGTGGACAGTGGTGGATGCCATGTGTTCATGTGGCACGTCCGGAGAATCCACCGTAAGGAGACTAAGGACAACATGTTTGGGTGGATGCCGAAAAGCATGCACCTGCAGCAGGGTACCTGGAGGATAGATTTTGTCGAGACTCCTTGTCGAGACCGCCATGTCAGTGGGAGTGAGGGTACCGGATTTGTCCAGGGTGTGTCAACGATCCAAGCACGAAAAAAAGAAGCACCGTTTGGTGGATGTATTTAAAAACGACGGAACATGGCGGAACAAGTCAATTTGACCGGATTTCTCCAGGGTTTGACAGGATTTCACCTAGCTGGGGGACCTGGTCTCCGGTCGCCTGAGTCCAGGGTGGCCAACAGCAGCTGCGCGGGTCGTGTCAGCTGCCGGCAGTCCGTGAGCTCTCGGCGCAGCCACCGGCCGCGGCTTGCGCCGGGCTCTGGGTGGGGCGCCCAGAGGTCGTTGCCGTCCACGTGGAGGTCCGGACTGCGGCCTGTGGGAGTCCATATGCATTGGAACCCTTTGGAGTGCTTGGGTGAATGGAAGCCCTGGAAAACAGTGCGGTTCCCTGTGCCCAAACCTGAAAAGAGTCTAGGACAAATTGAATGTCTCTCAACAAGGCACGGGACACTTGGAATACCACGCTTGTTTTGGTCGAAATTTGGGTGGGCTCCCCGCCGCCGAAATGCCACACTACCAACGGATTTCATTCTTTGTGTTGCGAGTAGTTGCTCAAGTGCTCAGCTGGGGCAAACACAACCAAATAAACAGGACAATCTTTCACACATGAACATGCTGCTTCATGGCGTTTGCCAGTATCACATTAATGAACTCCCGCTTTTTCGGCAATCTTCAGCGCCACTTTTGGGAAATCCAATGCTGCTGTTTGCCTTCGAGCAAGCATGTATTTTTCTTTTTGCCAGGTGCGTGCTCACAGATTTGCCCCCAAGCGCAATGTTTTAGTGCAAAAGGGGAATCCGCTCTTTCATCGTTCTCTCATCGTTTTCATTGTATTCATGCTGCGGCGGATGTTCCTCTCGTTTTCTTCCTTGAGATTTGACATATGCAGCTTTCTTGCAATGCTTCAAGCCTCCGAATGGTTTAGCCTCAGCGGTGGGCCGACCCTTGCCCAGCCCAACAAAGGTCCTTCCCCGGGGTCAGCCGTGTAAAGCTCATGCAGCAGGCCAGCCTTTGACTTTGGGCCACCTCCATTTGAGTCGCAATCAAAACCGATCGGTACAAAAATGGTCGACCCAGAACCATGTAAAGCATCAAGAAGGCGGCCGCAGCCATTTATGGTTGGGATTGTCCCTTACTAACCTTCATCTACCCAGGTTTTGATTATGGCTCATTTGCGTCTTACCGGGAGCAAATAGACCACACGGCGGATGGACAACATCCACTTCGCACCACCTATCAAACCCTGGAATGGCTCCCTTGCAAATACCAACAAGCAATGGTTTCCCATAGTTTCAAAGTGGTGCAGGATTTCGTCCATCCACTGTATCACTGGAGCAAACGGCGCAAGAAAAAATAACCAGCTACTGATGTGTTGGCGTTGTTGAGCAAACGCGAGCGCAACGCGCTTATGCAAACTGGCTGATCGAAGCTTGTGCTGGCTGAAACTGATGAAACATCACGAGGTTGTTCCATGAACACCAACACGCGACACAGGCACACTCCGATGAAAACATAGTTTCCAGTAGTGGTAGATTCCCTTTCAAACCAACAAGGGACACTATAACTTAAGTTCTCTTTTTGGCACAGTAGATGGCACCTGTAAATGGAATAAACGAACAATTTAAACTAGTGGCATCTATTTCTTACCAAACTAACCTAAAAAGGACACCTCATATAACATGTTCTTCGGCAACTGGAAGGTAACCAAGTTCCGAAGACCTCCACAGGATGCGGCTTGACAAGCTGCGAAGCAGATTCTCCACAGGATACTGCTGGTTGTTGTAGGTTGTCTTGATGTAGATCACAGGCTCCTGAAAACCCGGATGCTGTCAACTGATAACCCGTAAGCGCTTTTAAGCCGGGCATAAACGCCTTAGGCATGGTCCTCAAAAGTGGTCATGGCAATTGTTTCATCCACCTTGAGCTTGCCTTTCAAGCAGCTGACATTTCTGCGCCACCAGTCCTTTCCAATGAGGATTTTTTCTCACTTAAACAGGGGAAAGGGTTCCCTTGGTACCACGATGCGCAGGCGACACAACTCTACTCAAAGCCTCTGCTTCGGGCTTTGGGTCACGGGTTCCAACCATGGAGGCAGAAGCCTCTATTCCTGCTGCTGTCAAATACATGCAAGGAGGTTCCTTCAATCAGGCAAGGGTCCTGATGCTTTATATGAACATTTATACATTTGTCCTGGAGGTATGGAGTCTTACCTGTCAAGATAAGCTTGCAGGGGTCGCATGTCCCCCTCTTGCATGCCCATACCTCCGAAAACCAGACCCAACAACTCCCTTGACAAAACATGACACAACTCACCCTCAAGTTCTCCCATCTTTTGGATCAAACTTCCTGCCCAACGGCCTGGAAAACCACACAGAGCTTGGGGAACTCAACTTGCAATGTTGTACGCCACCTCTGAGTTTCAAGGTGAGGGCCTGGAAGCACAAAATCACTCAAACACCGCTTTCGCGCCCCTTCCAGCCTCAATGAACACATTTGGGCCACTTAAAAACATCCCCCCCCAGAAAAAAAGAAAGAAACACACCACCGATTTCGATCCGCTTCTTTGTGAATCCCGCCGGTTTGTAGATTTGTATCCTCCTGGACATTCGAGGATCCGGTTCCTTGTGAATCCATGGATATATCCTCCCGACAAATGGCAATGCATCTACATTGGGAAATCGCCTCACAGGTTGGTGGACATGCATCCCCATCTAAATTTGATGTCCAAAGGGCCCCTAGTCAAGATGAATACCCATGTTGCCCTGGACAGGTGGCATGATTAGAGTTAGGCCCAGTTTTAGAATATATATTTTATTCTTTGCTTCACTTTGAGTCACTGGTAAAATGTAAGATGTATCCTAAGTCTACCCCAGCTAGCAAAACACATTCTAAGCATCACCTTTTGGGCCCAAACAAAGTCTCAGTTGCCCAAAGGACCCAGAACTAAAAGGTTAACCTTTTGGCACCTCTACTAAAAATGGACCAACATGGGAAAACCAAAAGGTCAAAAGGTCGATTCGCTTTGGACAACTGAGAAGTGATGCTCGGCTCCTTTGGCTCGTTTTGGTAGAAGGAGACCAAGCGCTTGGCCTCCGCAGGCAGCGCGCGCTCGTAGAGAAAGCCCCGGCCGTAGGACTCCTTCCAGACCAAGGCCTGGCGAGTGACGTCGAAGTCCGCGAAGATGTGGCTGATGTTGAAGTTCCTTGGGACTTGGGCGAGGAGGTGTGGGTTGGGTGGATGGAGGTGTGGGGGGGGGGTGTGGAGGTGTTGGGGGGGGGGGTGGAGGTGTTGGGGGCGGGGTGGAGGTGTGTGTGTGGGGGCGGAGGGGGGGACTAGAAGATGGTGTGAATGTGGCGGGGTGTCTTCCTTTTTTTTTTTTTTTGGGGGGGGGGGGAACTAGAAGATGGTGTGAATGGTTGGGGTGGGCACCAAAAGGATACCAACTCCAAAAAAGTGACTTGTCAAAATTTGGGGCCCGGTGGTTTCGACATTTAGGATATTTGGAGGTCTGGTTGGTCCCTTGGTGTTTCTCAAAATAAGAGTCTCCTTTCTGGCTGGTTTTAAGGGGCAAAGGAACCAACATACCAACTGAAGGGCCCCGAATTTTGAGCATGCCGAAATGTTTCCTTTTCAAACATCACCCAAGAGGAAACTCATCCAGACGTGGCAACCGACAAAGGTTGAAAATTCCTTGAAACCAAAACTCGGCTGTCCCTGAATGAGGGGTTTTCAAGTTGCTTGGAGTGCTTTTGGCTTTGGTTCAATCGGAAACCTCCAGACCACTCACCCAAGCCTCTAAATAGAGGAAGCTGAGCAGGTGATCATTGATCTGTTTGCGAGATCGGGTGCTTCACAACCGGAGCACCCTATTGATTCGACCTCCTTGGCGAGCTCCCCAAGGAGAAAAAAACATGGCATCCTGGAAAAGGACGGATTTCTGTGCGGATCCGTGTTTCTCTTTTTGCGCGTGCTTCGCCTCGCCTCTCGCCTTCGGACTCCAACCAAGTCTACGCCAAAGCGTCACCTGGACGCGGACGCGGAGCTCCAGGAGCCCTACCACCAGCAGCTCCCGCAGATAGTCCACCGGCTTCGATTCGGTGGACTTCGAGTGGACCAGCACTGCGCCGAAACCGCCTCACCATCTGGGTGGCTCGCAACTTGGCTCAAAGTTTAGGGTTCGCAACTGGAAGAAACATGAGAAGATAGGCGTAGTGATAGATTTTTTTTGAAAACCAGGGGACACGCTTCCCCTCCTAAACTGTCTCTGGGTGGATTTTTTCTCTTTTTGGCTGGCTCTCTTTTTCTGGCATTTTCTTTCGGGTTTATTGCAACTGGGAACAATGAGACCATGGGATTAGTGATAGGGGAACATAAAAGATCTTCTAAAATGCAAATTTTGTCTCAGGAACACCAAACTGAATCACAGTCGTTCAGTTTGGGGATCCATTGGCAACTGGGCACCGGACGTGTGAGGCGTTCTGAACAACAAACGATTGCAGAGTGAAAGATCCAGTCAAAAGGCAGGGGGAAAATTGGTGTCCTCTTCTTGAGCTGTTAACCTTTTTGGGCCGTCAAGGGAAATCACAAAAGGAAGCCCACCAAGGAAGGGGTACCACACCCAACAGCTTGGAGGGTTGTCGTGAGGAACGCCTTAGGGCGAGCCTGGCCTGGGCTGGCCAACTGAGTGGACCCTCCGGCAAAAACGCTGTTCCCTTCTCTGGGTGGTCCGAACCCTCTCCCCTTTGTTTCCTGACACCCCCACTTCAAGGAAGCTCACTTGAAAATTAAAGTGCTACCATGATCAAAGTCACCCCGTAAGTGGTGGGTTAAAGGGAAACAACCACATTTTCTGACTTTGATCACTTCCGGAAACAGTGAAAACAATGACCCCAGCAAATCCAGTCGCCCTTTGCGCAAAGAAAGTCGGCGCTCTTCGGTCCAAAGAGCCGTCGGGGATGAGCTCGCTGGCCCTGAGCTCCAACAGCAAAATCCGCCGAGCCCTTTGGCGAGTACTTCCGTTTGCTTTTTCGCCCCCTGGGGAAAACAAAACATGTTTCCAGTAGTGATAGATTCTTAAAGACCAAGAGATGAAACTTAAAAAATAAATCTTGTTATGGCAAATGCAAGAGTAGAGGGCCCTGGAAAGATCCACCTTTGAAGGGAAGTTAGGCGGTGTTTCCCGAAATGTGTTAGTAACATCGCATCCAAGATCGGAAGCCAACCATTCTTGGCATATCCCTTTCACAAGTCTTGTAGAGCTTAGCCGTTTGCCAGGGCACCGATTTCCAAGTCCGAGGAGAAAGCGGGAACCGACTTCCCAGGGGGTATCCGAACATTCTCCTGATAAGCCGATTTTCAGAAGCGTGCTTGGGAAACGAGAAGAGGAAGCTGAACAAAGGTGCCTCTATCCATCTATCTGCCCGAGAATCAGCCCAAGCTAGTTCGTGTGGATGGTAAGCGTGATCTTGAGCTTTGAACGCAGGTCGTCTAATATGAATCCTTGCCGAAGCTGTGCTGTGCAAAAGGGCGCCACCTCTGTTTCCCTTTGCCATGGAACCTGACTGCTAGGCACCAAGATATTTTCCTCTTAGGACCTCAGCCAGCTTTCAAGGTAATGTGGAGCGTGTGTGTGGCTGTGTATGATATATGACCACTACATAAAGTTTGGTATGTATATGTAGTAGTTAGTAGTGTTGCGGGTAGTACTGTTTCTCTTATACATGATTTCATGTGTACACACTGTGGGTTTCTGCCGTCTGGCCGTCAGCGTCTCAGTTATCCTCTTGACTTTGCTGTCGCGGTCATATCTTGTTGGGCTACTTTGGGGCATCCAATCGCACGACGCAAGCCGCGGCTGCTTGTTCGGCACATGTTCGGGTGTCTTTCTTACAGGGTTTCTATGCTGCGTTCACTGGCCACGGACGGCACGGTCTCCAAAATTGCGCCTAGCACAACATGTGTCGGCAGGTTGACCCCCAACTGCTGGCTTATGGCTTGCCTCAGCTGGACAAAACAACAGAACACCGTCTTTGAGCTTCCCTTTCGGACATATTCAAACATGGGCTGCTAGCACCCAGGTTACACGCAGCCTGAGCAACACTCCTTGTTGCACGCCGTGTATTTTATGCTGCCTAGGATCGTCTTGAAGCTGGCCTTCTCAAGCAACGCGAGCTGAACTTGCCACAAAAACAAGCTCCAAAGGGGCATCCAGTGGCGAAGCTCGACTCATATGGGTGTGTCCTTTTTTGAGGGTACCCGTGCTTTTCATTTTTTTTGGTTTCCTTTTTTCTCTTCTTTTTTTGTGGTTTTAAAGGACAATCACAAGGAAAGCCGGTCACTTGCGGGGACCCTAAAAAGACACACCCATAAAATTGTCCTGAACATGAGAATGGGCCAACTATGCCGTGATCGTAAAATCATAATGTTGGTAATAAAAAATACTGTGCATGGACAAACTCCGTTCGCGCCACTTTGAAACCAGAACGTTGAAACCAGAACGTGCGTCGGTATTTACAGGGGAATCGATTCAGAAACAGAACTTCTTAGAACGGTGGTGCCTGAGAAGCGAATTTCGCACCTCCATCAACAGGATAGTTGCCCGTTCTCCCTCCATTTGCCTAAGCCTCCTGGGGAAAAAAAACAACAACATACTTCCAATAGTCATTCATTCCCTTTCAAGCCAACAAGGGAGAATAAACACATCTTCATTTCAGCACATGGAAGTCTCTCTTCACCCGTCTCTCCCGAGTCCTTTTCGGTGCTCTCAGCTTTCGGCCTGTGGGAGCTGAGCGTGAAGTGTTCCACGTACTTCAGCATGCGGCCCCGCAGCTCCATGTACCGATCCCTGGGGAAGTTCTCACCCAGACGTGGCCGGCGCCCAAGAAGCAGCTCCTTCCTGAGAAAGGGGTTGCTATCTCGGTTGCTTTCTGCTCCCTTGCTAAAAGTTTGACCTTTAGTGGTTTAATGGAAAAAAACAGATTAGTCGGCAACAAAATAAAGTCCTAACATCCAAGCAAATGCACCAAAGCTATGTTTCGAAGCAGTGCGCCATGCCAATGTTTCTGTGTCTGCACAAAGGGCATCCCCAAAAGGTCCGTCGAGCACAACATAATATCTTGACAGATCAGGTCTCTGAAGCCAAAATAACCAGTCCAGCAAAAAGCGACCAGACTCCCTAAACTTGAAAAAACCGAACATAACAATAAAAGAAAGCGCACGCGGGGAACTTAACACCAACACACATCCAGGGAAGTCAATGTGAATAGCACAATCACATCCAGGATAGATCGAAGTGCAAACAAACAAGCCAACCAAACACACATACATACATATACATCGATTCAACTTATATTCTTGGCGTCTTTTGGGCCCCTGCGCAAGAGCAAGGGTTTGGGCTGGTTTGTCAAACAAAATACACATTTTCCCAAACAGTAGGTTGACGATTCATCCAACCAGTAGCCAGGAAGACCCAAGCGTTCCTTCCCTTTTCCTTCCGGCGGCTTTTGGCTCCCGTCCAGGGTGCTTCACTGCCTCCTGCGAGGGTACGCCCGGCAGCTTCATCAACACCTCAAGTTGGTGGCAGGGGGGGGGTTTGGGTTGGGAGGGGAACAGGTGCCGTCGACCCCGGATTCAGCCTACTGGAGCAAAACATTTGGGGCTGGATCGTCACTCCTTGGCTGGAAGAATCGGACCCCAGCAAAAAATGAGATCTTTCTTGCCTGGTTCGTGGGAAAGCAAAGGCAAGAAAGCAAAAAGGGGAGCGACTTCCGGGGTGTGGGGTCTCCGAAAAGGCGATCCGAAGGTTTTTTTTTCCCTACGGCTATTTATCAGACGATGCAACTTATCAAACGGCTCCCAGATCCCAAACAAACCGCTGGGCTCACGAAACATGTTGGGCCAAGCCATGATAGGTGAACTTCGGATTGATACAGCCCATCAAGATCAAAAGGGGACCACATATCTTGGGGGTTCCGCAGTACCCCATCTTGATTGAGGAATGCTACATATTCGTTTCCACATATATGTGTTTTTGTACATTCGCATGCATATGGCCCTAGAAAGCGCAATAGAAGGATAGGGAGGCTTACTCCTCACACAGACATACACGTACATGACTGTCAGCCAGCTAGGTCCTCCAGATTTGAGAGGTTAGAATAAGTTGGTACCAACTTGTTTTTCTGGACGTCTATTTTAGTTGTGGAACCCTCCCCAAAAAAAGAAACGGTAAAAGGGCACCTCTGGGGGACCTTGCCAGAAAGACACTTTCGTTTTTCCCAAGTTGGGGACCCCAACCTGCTACGCAAGTTCAGTTCTCGAGACTGTGGATGGACGAAATCCGTTCTAAGGCACCACCGTTCAGCAACCATGGTTGACTCCATAACGTTTGTTGGTATTTACGTTGGGGAATCGAAACATACATTCCAGGGTTTCTGATATGTGGTGCGAAATGGATTTCGCAGCCATCCACAGTATGTCAAACAACGTTCTCCAAGTCCCAGAAACCGTCCAGGACTTTCGCCTTCAGCTTCGGGATGACTGAATCTCAGTCTAAAGGCGCAATACAAATTCCACTTGGGTGTGCTTTTTTGAGGCTACCCGTTTGGGGGTGGCTTTTTTTGGAGCCATCACTTTTGGAGGGGTCTTCAGGGAGATACCCCACTAGCCTCCATGGAGCATGTCTTGACCTACTTTGCGCCGAGAGCAAGGCTTTGGCATCCGTTACCCTTTTGCCAACCATGAAGTGGGCCTATACCAAAATAGTTGATCCCCCCACAAAAAATATCGTTGGTTCCGGATCCGTTCCCATGCCAGGGCCTGCGTACGGATTCTCCGGCCTGGATGATCTGACGCGGGAAGTGGACCATGGTGAGGCTTGGCAGAAGTTCCTGTAGCTGCGGGTTTTGGAACCCGCGCGTCACGAACGCCGCAGAGTATGAGACAGAGTGGCTGCTTTTCTTGGAAGGGACACACCTTTTGGGGAGTGCTTGAGAGAGATCACGCAGTTTGAGGGTCATTTGTTGAGACAAATCCGCATGGCCAATACTGATTCAGAGCATCATGGCTACTATTTGGTTAGACTTAGGTTGCTATGGACTTCCCCACTCCCAGAGACGGGGTCGCGGAGATGACGTGACACGAACGGAACCAATACCTCCCTTTAAGCGAAGACTTGGCCATTCAGAAGGCCGTTTCGTGATATCACCGCACATTAACAGCCACTGCTCACTGTCATTCTTTCTTTGCCCTGTTTGGCAAGCCAGAAGGTCTAAAGGCTGGCTGGCCTTTGGGCAACCAAGTGGTCAATGCGTTTTCTTTTGACACATGCTCATCCTGTTCATCGGTCCGTTCCTGTGCTTTAGATGTGCCAAGGCTCCCTGTTACCATTGCCGCAGTTCGTGCTGGTGCAGCACTACGCTGAAGATCAGGGCTGTGGGAAATGACCACTGTGATACAACAAAAAGAGCTTCCCAAAGACAAACCCCCCCATATAAACGGGGAGATTCCCTAAGGTATCACAGAAGTGGTTGGAAAAACCCCGAGTGATCCCACAACCCTGCTGAAGATGTGCATGGTCGTAAAATGGGACGGGATTGGCCCTACTGCATTCCACCAGGTGTCCGTGTCCAAGTGGCGACCACAATCCCGAGGCTTGCTGGGGACTCTACGTGTATCTGGGTGTCTGTTTTTGAGGGTACCATTCTTTTCGTGGCTTTAACAGGAAACCAAAAGGAACACCCCGCATTTTTGGGCCACCTAACAAGGACCACACCCTATGCATCATGTTTCGCACCCACTTTAGGGTCCAAAGGAAGAACACTATGCCAACACCAAAGCTCAGGGTTCATCTTGCAGCTCGCGCCCTCAAGAACCAGGGATTCAAGAAGCTCCCAAACCAATCCAAATCATCAAGTGACGGTTTGGATGCATGTGGCCTGGAGTAGCGTTAAAGGGACACTCGGGGAAAATTTTTGAGGGTCCCTGAATTTAAGACACAGCAACGGATGTCACGTATGTCACCCGAAAGTGTTCGATCCGTTAAGTTCGCACAAAGTGGCGATGTCAAGAAAGTAGGGCACGCAACCTGCCAGCAGAATCTCGTAGTGCCGGAGGCAATCCCACCCACCCTTCCTTGGCCAAACGGATCCGATCCCCTACAAAAACAGGGCTCTTTTCCGTCCTTTCAAAGTCATCAAGGAAATTCACTTCACATTGGCCCAAAAGGAGGTGTTTAAAACCTCGCCAAGGGGGAAGCATGGGGAACCCTAGGTATCTGCTGGTTGAACCACAAGGGCCAAAGGGCCATGGCTTTGGTGTTGTAGAAACACCCCCTTTTTCAAGACTTTTGGGTTGGAATCGGGATGTGAATTGGTTGCGTCCGGTCACCTAACCAAAAAACCCCTTCTGAGAGGATGTTCGGTTCAAAGGGAGAATGCCGCCGAACTGCCGGCGTTCTGCCGGCGTTGGGCGACGTTTTCACTTCAGGGAGGAGGCAATCCGCAGTATCACAGCTTTTCCCAGCTCTTGATATGCTAGCAAAATGTTACGGCGACATCAGTCACCAAAAAACAACAACAACCAACACCTCAAAGTCACAACACCACCTAAGCACAACGAACACCACCGACAACAACAAAACAAGACCCGAAAACAATCACATCAAACCAATACCAAGTCAGAAAGGGACCCTCTGAGCGCAGAGGTGCTTTCCTCATAGGACGACTTGCTCAGGTCCTTTTCCCTCCCACCAACTAACATGGAAGTGCAAAACGGCCAACTCACCAAGAGGAAGGTAGCCTTTCTAGAGGGGTCTGTGCACAAACCCATGCTAGCTGCGAAGGTAACTAATCCCAACAACCCCACGATTGGTCTGCTGGGCTTCTTCCTGGTGATGCAGTACAGGGAGCTGGCGTACATCTTGAGGTACTCCGCCTCCTTTCGGAAGCTCGAAAGGAAACATGGGGGCCTTGCATGCTTGGTTGCTGTTGACCCCCCTGCAAAAGTTTAGCTTTTTTTTGGGGGGGGGTTTAGTGCAAGACGCCTTGATTTCCCAAAAAGTTAAAGTCTAAAGATCCAACCCAATAGCAGTCAAGAATGTCTAAGGCTACCTTCCCCAATCTTTCCAAGGATCCGAATCTTTTCAGGAAACCATCAAAAACACCCAGGAGAAACAGCCGGTTTTTGAAAAGAAGGATGGTTGAAAAGAATGGGGAATTAGCCCCTAGAGAATGTACCTGAGCGTTTCTCCTTGGGAGAAAGGCCACTGCTTGGTATTTAGTCCCTGGTCTTCTCAACATTGGTTGGTAAGGACACCAACATTTCTTGGGGACTATTTAGAGACACCCTCCCTTAGCCCCTTTTTTTTTTTGCTTGCCACCAAATTCGGGTTCCCAAAAAGGACGACAAGTTCAGGCACTCAGGGAAAGAGTTGTGAAAACTGTGGCCTAGGCCATTCTTGTTCAAACGGGTGGCAGCTGGGGGGTCCGGAAAATCATGATCTCCGCCCCGTTTGGGAGATTAACACATCGGTGTGTCGTTTTAGGGACCCCCCCCAAAAAAAAGAGGGAGAGAAGAAGAGCCCATTTGCTGTTCCGCAAAACCATTTCCTTTTGGCTTCCCCTTAGAGGGTTCAACCGGCGTGACATGTGGAAAGCGAGGGGACAGCTCCGGAAACCAGAGGGAACCCACACGTCCAACAATGTTGGGGGACATGGGACTTCAGGGCATAAAACGCTGTAGAAAGGAATTCACAGTTTTCAAGGCAGTCACAAGCCGTTGACCTCACTTGCCAAAAGACCTGCAACATACAAGGTGCCCCTTTTTGGGGCCATGGGAAGGGGTAGAAATGTTGGCTTTGGATTCTTCACATGCACTATGGATCAACCCCAGTCCTCTGTGTAGTTGTAGGTCCGGGCATCTCCTCAGACAAACTGCATGATCTCCGCTTGAATTCGAAGGGATGGGGACAATGATTTGGAAGCAAGGGATGTTATGTTGCGGGCAAAACACTAACTTGCTAGATGCCTTCCACAATCAAAGGCTCAAGCTCATAGGTGTCTTTTAGAGGAAATAGATGGTTTCCCTGGTAGATGATTAAACCACCAGGTAAACCAGGAATCGCCACCTACTTTTCCACCAAAACAACCAAATAGGACACACCTCTGGTCAAGCTGGGTGGAAGCTTCTACAAACCACATGCACTTTCATACGGGCATGGGTCAAAATTAAACCACCAAAGGACTGCAGGGTTTAGTCCATGTTTCAAATAAACCAGGGTTCCATTTGGGTACCTATTTTTGACCCACACCCGCATGGGCTTAGCTCACAGCCAAATCCTGAACGACCACCAGCGCGCCTTCACCCAGACCGCCACTCACTCCCCCAAAAAAACACAACAGGCAAAAGGCATCAAAAAGAGCCCCGCGTCAACGAGTAACGAAGCCTTTCAACCAAATGCAAGATTCAACTGCTTCAACGTTGAGCTTGCAGGTAGGAACGCATGTCTACTCTTGGTATGGCAGCGAAAAACTTTGTTTTTTGCAGACCCCCAGTAAAAATGAACAAAACCAAAAAACTAAAAACAACAAACATGCCAAGAACAGTGAAGCAAGAGTAGTCTTGCAATACTGGGCTCATGGCTGGTTCACTTGCTACTTAGGGAATCAACGGGTTTGCAGCTCAGCCAAGCCAAGCGCTTTTTCTGCTAATAAACGGCCTGCTCCAAGCAACGCTGGCTGGTTGCAAGCCACGCAACAAGTATCCAGCGAAGAGGGACCATTTGGGCGGAGATTTCGCGAGTCCCCCTCATGCCCTGCCCAAATAGAGCATAGAGCACGAAAAACCTTGACCAAAAAAGCTTATCAACACCTCACTTGCTGAGTGGATGGCCCAACAAAAAGCTCAAGCTTTATATTTACCACTAAAATGGTCTTCCCAAAAAGTGTAAAGTTCATGAACTCAGGAAGTGAGACACTGTTCGAGTCGCACTTTCGCAAGCTGGGTTGAAAGGTTCGAGCGATTCACGGAGCACGCGACAGCACCTGTGCAGCTTTGCTATCCATGCGATTCTCGATAATTTCTTTGCTTGGAGCTCAGCCACATCTACGCAGGTCTTTTCCCCCTCTTGGTTCAGTACCCACTAAAGACCAGCCATGTATTCAAACAGCCTTTTATTGTGTTCCCCCAGACTTCCGATTGAGTGGATTGGCCAAAACAAGTCTGAACATTCTATTTATCGCCAGAATGGTCCAAACCCAAAAAGTGACTATAGTGACTCAAAAAGTCCGAGCCACGGAACTCAGGAAGTGAGCGGGCCCCTTAAAGCCAGGTCAGGTAGTAAGGCGCTTTTCCTCCATTTGCTTTTTCGCCCCCTGGAAAAAACTAAATATTACGAGTAGTGATACATTCCCTTTAGAACCAACAAGGGAAAATAACAAATATCCATTTCAGCAAATGGAAGAAAGTCAGGTCAGGCAGTAAGGCGCTTTTGCATCCAAGGCGCCAGGGATGAGGGGCGCAAAGTCCGAGAGTGCTGATGGTCGCTGTCGCAGCGGCCGATAGTGATTCCACTTGCCTCAGCTCTCGGAAACGGCTGAACCATGACTTCCATTTGGTTAAGGCCACAAGCAAAAAAAAACAGTAGTGATGAATTCCTGTTAACCAACAAGGGAAAAATATTAAACAAATGGAGGATGAGTTTGAGCGAATGGCAGCTTCGGCTTGCGACGACCCTAGTCAAAGGACAAAACTCATTTCCTGACTGAAGGGGAACCACCCCCAAAAGTCGCGCGGTCCTCCTTTTGATTGATCTGAAGTCAAAACCATATTTTCATTCAGGTGTCTTGGAAGCCAAAAGGCCCAAAGAACGATTCTAGTGAGGCATTCATTCCGTTCATTCTGCCCGAAATCGGTCTCGGCACGGGTCGGAATGGAGTACTGGATGGGCGCCGCGAACTCCGTCTGCCGCTGGCACGCCTTGTCCAAGCTCACGCTGGCGCTCCAGGGCAGAAAGCCCAGAATCTGCTTTGCACCCATCCGAACTCCATTGGTCTGCACCACCTCAAGAATTCCACCACCTAAAAAAAGAGTTGCCCCAAAGCGGGTTTTAATCATGGAGCCTAAATCAGGGTCTTCATGGTGAGCCCTGGGACCTTGTCGTTCAACAGGCGTAACAACGTTTGGGTGCAGTGGATTCCCCTTAGCCAACCTTCCCTCGTTCCCCTTGCAATCTTTACGGCGGACCATGCCACGTTGCCGGTTTCTTGCTGCATTCCCCTTCCACATCACACCGCCCCAAAGGGTGACATGTCTTGAAAACACCCTCTCAGCGATGCTGTTCGTGTTGACGGTCAATCGGGATCGGGATCGTTGCTCATGTCTTTTCAACCCATGGTATAAGCGCACAATACTATATTTTGCAGCCCCCGTGCAAACTGAACAGCGCCAACCCCCTCAAACCAATAAGAGCAATAATCAGATACATATTCATATATATATATGTATATTCACATATATATATATATTGATATGTAGTAGCAACGATCTACATATGTATGCAAACATGCATATGTGCAAATCAGTGCTAAGTTCAGCGAAAGGGCTCCTTCCTGAGCCATAAGCGGAGGCGATCTCGCGTTCTGAATATTCCCGCCTTTCGGCGGGTCTCAGACGAAAGCAAGATTCGCAGGTTGAACCGGTTTAGAGTAGATTTCCGGCTTGATTCAGGGTGAAGGTCCACTTCCATTTGCTTCTTCGCCTCGTGGAAGAAACACATTTCCAGTCGTGATAGGTTCCCTTCACACCCACCAACATATTCTTCAGAAAATGGACGTAGCTTTGGTGGTTGAATTTGGCCTTAGCGCCCTGCCGGAGGCAAACCTATGACACATGACCAAACATTGATAACCAGTGAGAGGACTCAGCTTCCGGAAGTGTAAAGCTAATCCCCGCTCCAACCTCCAACATATGGTTCGTTTTAACCTTGGTTGCTGCTGATCTCTCTGCAACACGTTTATTTGTTTGTGGGTTTAGTGGACCCCCCCCTTGATTTCCCAAAAAGTTAAAGTCTAAAGATCCAACCCAATAGCAGTCAAGATTTAACGTACCTCCTACAACAACTTTGGATAGATATGTTGCTTGCGCCTGAAACGTGTCCCCCGACCTTGGGGCAGAAAACCACTTGAGGATCCTGGCAATATAGGTATGGTATCGTGTTTTTGCACACGCACCCTTTGGTGGATTCACACCACATTTTGGAGGGTGCTCTGTTTTGAACCAGGGGTACCTGCCCTGCAGCCCAGGGTCATACTGAATCGCACTTGTTTATACGGCGCTCTTGGCACTCATGCCTTCAGTCTTGGCAGAAATTTCGGCCGTGAGAAAACCCAGACCTCTTCTGGCCATGGAAAGAAGGGCTAGTTGACTTCAAAGGGCTAGTCGACTTTAAAATAACAGAAGACACTCAATGGGTGTTTGGGAGCGTGCCGATCCGAGGATAGACAAGGAATCCTTGTAACATCAAGCTACTTGAAGACAAATCACTTTCATCTGGCAAGCAGCAAAGCGAAGTTTGAGAACGCCGCAAGGTAGAGGAAGCTTGGCGATTTTGAAACCAGTTTGGGATTTTTGGAACCCCTGCATTCAGTACTCAACTCCAGGTTCACGAATCCGTTTAGGGAACTATCCCCGCCTCCAAAAACATGGAAGGGGAGGGAGTTCCACCCCTTCTGCTTCTGAATCGACCAGCTTGCAAGCAAGTTGGAGCCCAAAAAGCCATTTCGGCGTCTCAATTTTCCGCGCGAAGAAACTTGTCTTCGCCCCGCGCAGTGACCTGAGCGCAGGCTGCTCCAAGCTTTTGCCCAAGCTGGTTCTCGTTTGGGTGTGTTTCTGTGAGGGACCTTTTCCATGGATAATGTCGACCCCGGATTGATAAAACAATTCCCGCTAGGAGGATGTACCCCTCCAATAGTGGTGAATCCCCACTAAACCAGGGGCACGCCCATGAATAAACACTTAATTTATATTGACACATACCCTTTAAAGAAAGGGACACCCCCGTTCAAGATGATTTGATAGAGTGGCAGACTAAGCCATACCTTTTGAAACCTAGGTTTGTTGGGCTCCTTATTAGAACTCATCTCATGGGATCTTCTTCACAATCCTACCGGCACGGCAGCAAACACCTGACTTTTGTTTGCAGCACCCTACTAGAAATGAACAGAACCCCAAAACCGGAAGAACGCAAACAAACTTGCCAAGAACGGTGAAATTTTGATATGAATGTCGGCTCAAATGCATTTTGCTAAGCCGACCGCGGCCTGCAGGGGGTCCGTTGCGGGACACGAGCGGCAAAGGCACAGGCACATCTTCTTTTTGTCGTGAAGCTGATGTCACAAAATGCTGGAATGGCCAAAAGCAGGGGCGACCTTATTGGAATCAGGTGCGCCAAATGCGCCAAAAGAACCATGACAAGAAGAAACAAATAAGTCGTGTACCGGAAACAGAACACACACACACACACAAACATTAAAAGGGAAAAACCGGAGCCAGTGGTCTCCCGATAGGTGCGCTTGATTCAGCACACCTGAGCCACACTCAAGACTAGAACGCCGAAAAAAACATCGAACGGGCGGATATCTGCACCTGGGAGCGTGTTGCTTCCTCCCAAGTCTTGATTGTGGCTTCTCTGTTGAAAACGAAAGGGGCGCCTTAGGGACGATATCCCTTCAATCCCTCGGCACTTTGCGGCTGCCTGCGCGCCCGATCCAGTTGCCGAAGGGCAAGCAAGCGCCAGTTGGATTGAAATGTAAATGGCGAAAGGTAGCTGAAGGAAGGGTGAACGCTTCGCCTAGGGTTTTCCACATGGATTTATGAACCCTTTCTTGGTGAACATTTCTGGGAATGGGGATTTAGGAATATCAGGGAAGCCACAGAAAAAAGGCCGTAGCCAAGGGTCGCCTTGCTGAAGCCTTCAGGAAACTGGGCCGAAGCTTCGTCGCATTGACAGGAAAAGGTGACAGTGAAACGTTCGGGTGAAAGCTAGGAACGCGCAAGAAGCCAAATACTGCCCTCGGAACAAGCGCTGTAGGTGCACCGTACGGAAGCAACAAACGTGAAATGGGCAAGTTTGACCCAGTGTCTTACACACCTGGTTAATTGGTGGATCCTATTTAAGGGGGATCTTTCACTGGGGAATCGCCCAATGAATCCGTTGATCGACTCGGGGTCGACGTAAGGAGTTTTCCTTGGGGGAACCATGGCAAAGCCGCTGGACGCCCACCCCCGCAAGGTCGCCTATGAATCATTCAAGCGACACGCTACCCTCAGTTGTTCAGTGACCCTGGAAAAGAAAGGGAACCCTTTTTGGGGAAGACCATTTTTAGTGGGGCAGCCACCCAAAAAAAGGAAAATAATTGGTGCCACTGAGCAACTGAGTACCAATGAATCATGCGAATGACGCTGGTGATGCCCTCGTGGCCAAAGGAACAAATCATGCGAGATTCGCTGCCATGCGAATGATGCTGGTATCATTGACATGGGGTTTCCGACCCAAGCTGCCAGGGATTCCCCTCCCTCATTTGCTCAAAAAGGACTTGGCAAATATGGTTAAGTTTTTGGGATGCTGGCTCAAAATAGACGAAAGGGTCAAATTTGAGAAGTCACCAGTTCGATTTGCTTGCGGAGTGATTGCTTAGACGGGTGCCAGTCGTCTTAGTGGACATGCTGCCCTGCCTGGATGGCTGGCGCCAGGTTAGAAAAACTGTTCCCCACATGGATGGGTAACTTACCAAACCTCGGTTGCGAAATCTGCGAAGCCCTGCTAAACGTGACTAACTCTTGGTGGTTTAATACGGAAAACCCATGAGTTGGCAAAAAGTTAAAGTCCTAACATCCCTTGCCAAGCAGACCACCGGAAGCCTTTTCAACAGGACAAGCATCTTCCTAAAGGGCCTGCGTAAGCCTAAATCCATGCCGGCCGAGAGTCCCCACATCACCAACAACTGTGTTTTGCACCAAACAAATCTTCCCCCCAAAGTTGAACATTGGGTGACACCAAACGGGTTATTACAAATTAACATGCATGGTTGTCCTTTGGTGAAGCTGGAACCCGCTTATCAGAACCCGTTTTTCAGGTCACCCTGTCGAAATGAAGAGTAGCCGGGGAAGTGATACTTTACGGGTGTGTGTCAAAATATGGCCCCAAAAGGGACTTTTGTTTTCATTTTGATTTCCCTTTAACACCCCACTGAAATCAAAAAAAATACCATCTCTACTCTTGGTATGGTAGCGAAAAACATTGTTTTTCGCAGACACCCAGTAAACATGAACAGAACCAAAAAACTAAAAAACCAAAAAACATGCCAAGAACAGTGAAGATACCCTCAAAAGCGGCGGACAGGCTTGTTTCGAGGGTTTTGGAAAGCCGGGAGCTTTCGCTCGTTGCCGGGTCGCCGGATACGCCGGAGCCCGGCACATAATTCTCACCGCTTGGACACAAACGGGTCTCACTTGAGTGTCTTGTTTCAAAGCCATGATCTTCTGCTCATTTCCTGAGTGGACTGGACAACAACAGTCTGAACTTTGTATTCACCACTAAGATGGTCTTTCCAAAGAGTTCAAAGTCCATGAACTCAGGGAGTGAGTCTGACTTCCCTTTCCGAGCGGACCCCGGAGGGCTTTATTTCATACTTTGCCTCGTCCAAAAAACGACGGGGCAGGTTGGACTGACGAAACCCGCGGCTCACGGCTCACTGATCCAAACTGAAAGTCTCCTTGAATACCGTCTTCTCAATCCTGCCCAGGGGTGATACAACTCTGACAGCTGCAAAAGGCCTTCGCTGAAATGGCGTCGGGGTTTGAACAAAATGGACGTGAGAAGCGAATGTCCAAACAGGGTTTCTTGCCCGAATAGATGCAGCAATTACCTTTCTGTTTGGCTAGTGCATGCACGTGCGATCTCTGTGACCAACGCGAGATGACATCTGAGGGGTTGCCGACGCCTTGGTTTCTCACGGAAACAGAGAGCATTATGCAGTTTCTGGGCAACAAACCCCCAACATGAGCGACTTTGCTGGGGTTTCCCAAGCGCAACCCCAAAAGGAGACCCTCGGCACCATAATCTGAAGCACACGTGATTGGTTCTTCTCTTTTTTTTTCCCTCTTTTTCTTCTTCTTTGCTTTTCCCCCTTTTTTTCCCCTGAAGTTCTGAAGTTCGCAACTAAGGGGAATCACAGAGCTTCCTCAAAAGACACACGAAAAAAACACCCATCTGCTTTACAAGGGGAGGATGTACATCAGCGGGTGGACTTGAGTCTGAAGTTGGCAATATGCATCCTTGGGACGACGAAAAGGACGTCTTCGACGGCCTCTTGTGGATTCCGGATGGAAGGGCGGCACTTCTCTGGCGGGTTGTTTCTGCCAATTTGGTTCACATAAAGGGGACACATACTTGCCTGCATTTGCTCAAACCATGTCCAGAGCCATCGATTCCCTTTAAAACAGGGGAAATACAACATCTTCTTAGTGGAAGCTTACACAATTGCAAATCAGGCTCTTCTGGCCTTAGCACTCCAAAAACATTCTGGAAGCGTGCCACTCTGAAGAGCGCCCTCCAAAGCGCAGCCGCGAGAACCTCTTAGCAAAGTCGTTGAGCAATCCTTTTCTTCCAGTAGCCACGCAAAGGAGAACCGCGAAAGGAGTACAAAGCTGCCTATATTCAACCGAATAATCCCGCCAACAGCTGTGCGATGCTCATTTGTTCTTGGTGTAAAGGTGGTACTGTAACACTTCTAATGGCCAACTTGTACCTCTTCAGCCCTGTTCAAATGCCTCTCCGCATCTGTAAGTTTTAATTTCGATTTACAATTCGAAATCTCGAATACATTCAAAATATATTTTTTAACATTTTTTCCCCATATTTATTAATCATCTAGACCGGGAAAACAAAGACGTAATAAGAGGCGCTATCACAAGAACCTGACAACCAAAACGACAAGGAAATATTCATAACGAGAAATAAGGATATAACGCAATGACAAAAAATAAAACAAGAAAAAACACAACATATCATATCACAATTCTTCCAGGGTTGGATCAGCTGGGATTTTTCAATGTCTAACCGCACGACGAATCTCCTGATGACTTCCACCACGGGGCAACCAGGTAATCCCGTGGCTTCTTTGGCTGTAGCCTTCACCTCCAAGAAGGGGGGAGAAACCTGAGATGTTCAGAAGACTACAACGACCCCCCTGCAAAAAGTGAGTTTCACTTTTCGGGGGGGTTTAATGGGAACCCCCTTGATTTCGCAAAAGTTGAAGTCTACAGATCCAACATTGCAATGGCGGTCAAGACTAGAAGACTCTTCTTGGGGTTCGTCTGTAATTGCCGAAACCCAGAGTCTCGATTAAAGAAATACGAGCCTTGTCAATCGATACTGCAAGAAGTGACAGCTGCTTGAAAAGAGGAAACCAGTACATACTCAGCTGCGCAAAGGGCCTAGAAAAACAAGGTGATGACCGTTTGGGGATCGTGACGAAACATGGACAAAGAGAGAAAACCAAAAGGTGAAAAGGGCGATTTGCCTTGGGCAAGTGTAAGTGTATGGAACTCTCAGACAGCAAGGCTGAAAGCGGTGAGGTAAGTCGGCCATAGGGGACCAAAGCAAATCTTTCGTAACAATGCGGGTCAGAAAAATCGGGCGTTGGCGGAAACCAGGGGAGGTTTGGACGCTTGTCGCGGGAAGCGGCTGGGTCCTGTAAATCTCCTTTATCGTAGAGTCGCTGACCTGTGCGGCCAGCATGTCGTCGGCTTTGACCTTCGCTAGTGCTTCGCCAAGTGCAACTCCTTCCGTTTCCGTTTTTCGCCCCCAGGAAAAATAAACATACTGTGGATGGACGAACTCCATTTCGCACCACTTTGGAACCATTGGAAAGAATTTGTTGGTATTAAGAGGGGAATAACCATTCCAGGGATTCTTAGGTGGTGCAGGATTTCGGCCATCCTGATAGATCCTCTTTAACACGAACAGGAGAACATAACAATTAGAGTGTTCAGCAAATCGAAGACTCCTGTGTGCCATTGTTGGAAAAGGGAGCACCTCTTGACTAAACCCGCTCAATGGGCTTGATCATGGGTTCCAAAAATCGGTTGCGAGTTCGCAAAACTAATATCCTTTGGTGCAAGCGATAGAAATTGGCCCCTTTCGGAGAAAAAAGGAGACCAAGTCACGCGTCGGGCTCGGAGCAGTGTCAGCTCTGCTGAAAAGGGGGCTGACCCGGCCTGCCTTAAAGGCCCTCTAGAAGCCGTCATGGAATCGCGCCTTTCAAATCCTGGCTCAGTGGAGGTTCCCAAACAAACCCCTTTCATGCGTGATTTTGGCGCGGACCAAAACTCATTGTCGATCGCATGAATACCCAACACCATCTCACTTCCTTAGTGGGGTGACCAGCAAAATGACCAGCAAAACCTGTGTTCATCGCTGAGACGGTCTTCCCCCTACAAAAGAAAGTGACTAAAGCCCCAAACCTCAGGGAGAGGTTGATACTCTTCCCAAACAAGCTTCACCGGAGCAGGGACCCATGAAACCCCTAAGCCACTGCCGGCCGGGCTGCAACACAGGGCGAGCCCCAACTGGCCATAAAGCGCTTCTGCGGGCAGATCCTCAGCGAGCGAGAGGCGGAAAACAAATCCAAAAAGGGCTGGATGCCGAACCTAGGCAAGCTGAACATTGAATTCAATCTTTCCTCAGATCCTGGGCGAGATGGGGTTCTCTTACTTTTCCACCCTATCATGGAGGCTTTTGGAATTCTGTTCTTTTGGGGACGCCCCTTGTCCACTTCCATGATTGGACAGCGGGTATAGGGTATAGCTAAGACGCGTGGTCCTTCGCTTGAGAAACCCGAGCACGGACCAAAGAACATCGAGCTTTTGGCCGCTGACCGTGGGTGCTAAGTCGTCGGACCCTCCAAAATTGATGGCTTCCTTTTCTAGGTCCTCCAGTAAAGAGGTTAGAATAAGGGTAGCCGATTTTTTTCGGTCGTCTATTTTAGTAGGGGAACCCTCCCAAAAAAGGATAAAAGTGCGCTACTGGGCGACCTAGTTTTTGAAGAAACCCTCAACAAGCTCCTGCTTGGCTCATCCCCCCAATTCCATCTTCAGCTTGTCCCAGAAAAAAAAATCGAACCGTGATTTCCAGAAAACACCGCGACGGGTGGGGATCGCCTTGTTGCCCCGGATGGGACCATAAGGTCAAAAGGTCGATTTGCTCTCGATTCACTCTGCGGACATTCACTCTTTTCAACCAAAATGATGCCATTGCTAGGACTGACTAGTTTGAGGGGACCTTTCATTGCGGACCTTTCACTTTAAGGGGAGTTCCCGCATCACAAATGATAGGCCACGACTTCATTCCCCACAACGCCAAAATATTCGCCGTACTGTCAAGAAGGGAAGCAGCACTCAGCTGGGAAGCCACGGAAAACTGGGCGCGACCTCTGTGCAGGACTTCAACCAAAGGCATTCCGTTTCACATTTTACCACCAGAAACATATGAGTGTGTGATTTTAGGGGACCCCCCCCCCAAAAAAAACAACAACAACAACAACAAACATGTGGTTCCCTTGTGGTTTCCCTTGCGGTTTCCCTAGGTGACTTTCCTCGTGGTTTTGTTAGGGGACTTTCCTTGTGGTTTCCCTTTAACACCGCCAAGAAAGGGGTCCCCTAAAACAAGACACACTCACATTTCAGCACCAATCC